GGGGAGCCGAGGGGGAGCGGCCCCGGGAGCCGGCGGCTGCTGAAGCGGCCCCGGGAGAGCGGCCCCGGGGACCAAGCGGCGGCGGGAGCGGGGCCGGAGGCCGCGAGGGGACGGCTGCCGGTGGAGGAGGTCGGGGAGGTCGAGGAGCGGAAGGAGGCGGCTGCCGAGCAGAGGGAGAAGGCGGCGGAGGAGCCGAGCCCCGCGGCCGAGCCGAGCCCGGGGGCCGAGCCCAGCCCCGCGGAGGAGCCGAGCCCCGCGGCCGAGCCGAGCCCCGCGACGGCCGAGAGCATTCCCCGGCAGCCGCCCCCCGAGCCCCGGGAGGATGCAGAAGACCACGCAGCGTTTCCCAGCAAGGCAGAGGAGGAAGAGCTGGACTCAAGAAAAGAGAAGCTGGTGGTGGGAGAGCCGGCAAGCACAGCAGCTACACCAGCCCCAGTGACAAGTACAGCAGCATCAACTGAGAGTTCTGAAGGTTTTGAATGGCCTTTGGGTATCCTTGGGACCTGCCTGATGATTGTGGTGGGGATCAGCATGTTGGCACACACACAGACTGTGTTCTACCCACAACCATTTTGTCCGACCTCAAAAGTTAAGCAGAGTCAGGTTTGCGTCTTGTCTGGGGTTAGACGAGGATATAGGGGGACCAAAAGGTTTTCTCCAAGGCTGGACAGTGATGAGTGGCAGGGTGTGTGGGACGGTATGGGCAAGTATCTAGTCCACTGGGCCCCTCCAGTGCTTTGGAAGCATCAGAGATGGAAGGCAGCTGTGTGGAGTCCCCAGCAACAAGCTGCAGAAACTGCTGAAGGGGACAGTGAATTATTTTGAGCCTGGAAGGGCCCATGAGATTGAGGCCATCAGGGCAGAGATGCAACATAGAGACGGACTCATGATCGAGGGGTGGACGTAGTAATGGAAGCTATTGCCCAGGTTATTCACGAGTGTGAACACTGCACACAGTCTCTCCTGCTCTGGAAGACTGTTACAAGAGATGGAGCCTGACATCATGGACCAGATGGACTCAGCAGCTTTATAGGGACTGGTCCATGCACTAAGATAAGAGTGCACTTAGATAAGAGTGATGGTATATTGAAAATGCGGGATCTGAGCATGACATGAATGGTATGGAATAAGGGGTGGATAATGTCCTGGGTTCAGCAGTAGCAGTCATTTTTCTCCTTCTTGGTAGCTGGTGCAGTGCAGTGTTTTGACTTTCAGCTTGGAAACAGAGCTGATAACAATGATGTTTTGGTTTGGCCAAGGACTTTGTGAGCCTCATGCTCTGCCAGGGAGGAGGGGAAGCCAGAAAGAGGCAGAGACAGGACACCTGACCCAAACTGACCAAAGAGCTATTCCATACCACAGCACGTCATGCCCAGGATGTAACTGGGAGTTAGCCGGAAGGGCTGGGGGACTGCAGGGTTGGAGGAGGTATCGGTCGGAGCTTGGTCGGGCTTGGGGGGCGAGTTATCGGTCAGCGGGTGGTGAGGTGTTGTATTCTGTTCCCTTGTTATTTCCTTTATCATTATTATCATTGGTGGTAGCAGTAGTGATTTGTGTTATACCTTAGTTACTAAACTGTTCTTATCTCAACCCCTGGGAGTTGCATTCTTTTGATTCTCCTCTCCGTCCCTCCAAGAGCAGGGGGAGGGCAAGAAAGGGGGGGAAGTGAGCGAACGAATTACCTGACTGGGTTTAAACCACGACAATCCCCCAACAGAAGCCTGAGTTTTAGGGTTCTTCACTTATGTATTTACCTGAATTCACTGTGCTATATGTTTGCGAGTGGCTACCTTCACCTACCACGTACCCATTGTACCTACTGTAGGGAAGAAAGCTGCTACGTCATTTGCTACAGATACAAAAAGCATGTGATGGAGAGGCCTGGTTCTGGTCAGAAAGGAGAGTCTTACAGTTGCGGCAAATAACTGAGCCTCTAGAAAACTGTTTTTTAACTCTGTTGGTAGAAGTTCCCATGTAAGTCTAAGGAATATGCATTATATATTCCTCATTTTTCTCACACACCCCAATTGAGTAATTTGTGGTGTGAGCTGCTAAGATGCTGAATGTGAGTAGGTGCATCTGAAGTCAGTGGGAGGTGGACTTCAGTACATGTAGAGTAGCATAAAGCATTTACCATCCTGCAAATGAAGGTCTTTGATTTAGTATTTACCACTGGGAATTTAAGGCCTTATATTTCTCCACAAAGGTATCCAGAAGTGTTAATATTTTTCATTTCCTGGAAATAGACAAGATAATGCCAACTATTCCCTAATGCTGCAACATGAGTAAAGTCATTAATGATTAGTAGGGTGATAGCACTCCTGAAATGCACTAAGGGAAATTAATTTTCCTAATTATTTGATGAAGGATAATGGTATGCAGTAAACTGTACATTAAAGTATATATGGAGTAAGCAATAAAAGAAACATTAACTAGAAACACACATTTGGAAAGCTTCTGGAGTTTAGTCTCCTGCTGTCTCAGGTAACCACTTCACATAAGCACTTTTATAAATTGATCAGGCTCCACTTTCAATGCAGATGGCCTTCCTGCCCTCAGCACAGGGAAGTTGTTCCACAGCCTCACTGCTCTGAAAATTCCAAATCTTCTAATTCAGTCTAAATTCACTAATGTCCATTTTACACACAGCGGTCTTCCATTTAAACAACAATCTTATATCCATATCTACTCTCTTTTTGAGATAACAAATCTCTTAATCTTTATTTTGCTAAACTAAACACAATGAATTTTGCAAGCTTCCTCTTGTACAACTTCCCCAAAGAATACCATTACTACTTAACATTAGGGTTCCTCTGGGGAAACGAGCTTATGGCTATGTGATTAAAAACTATACCACTGTGCAGTCGTAAGACACATAAACCCACAGGACCAAAACGTGAAAAGCAAGCGGCATACAGCAGGTCTGAAGCCAGACACAGAGGAACATACACATCTGACTCTACCTCACATGTGCAATTAAGACTGGATCTATCACACAGCTCTTTGCACACAGACTTGCTGTGCCCAGCACTTCCCAGCTTTTAAGATGGCTCTGCATTTCTTAATCTCCCAATCTCTCAGTAGGTGGGAGAGAGCCATGAACTAAATGGTAAGAGGCTAATTCTAGTATCTTCCCCATCTTTGATTGGAATCAGTGAAGGAGGTAGCCTCAATTAGGTCAGATGTCCTTCCTCAAATAAAACCCATTCATCCATGCCTTATAGGCAAGTAGTTAGTTTTATCTCTGATGGAGACATGCTGTTAATCAAAAAAGGTTTTGTTGCACAATTGGTCAATTTTGGCCTTTACTTCATGTGTAAATGAAGATAATCATTAGGGACTTCAGTGAAAATAAGAGTATCCTAACTAGCAAGGAGGAGTAAAAAGACAACCTAAAACTGTAGCAAGTTGCCAAGCCACGGTAAATAAATAACATTTCCATAATGCTTTCTGAAAGACTTTCATTAACTTTGAAAAGGATGTCATTGATAGGTCCATTTTGATAACAGCTTCCCAAACCCAAATGACAAAGAGAGTGGCTAGTTCACAGCATATATCCAGTTTCCACGTACATAATCCCAGTCCTAGTCCAAACACAGATCAAGAGCTTTACGAGTTGAGACAGTAACATCCTGGTGTTGATTCAGAGAATTCATCATCCCATCTGGATGCTGAAGCTCCACAGCATGACTATATTTGGTGATGCTGAAACCAAAGGTGAGAAATCTCATCATGTCACACAGAGACTCCATACTGCACAAAGACATTAGTGAACCCCAATTAACCTGAGCCCGGACAAACCGGAGCCATTTGATCCACCCTGGATTTTGTGTGCTGAATGCCGGGACAAACCGTGCAAACCCTGTGTCATTACCACGTCCTCCGCGACTTGGGCAGAAAAAATCATGCATCCACCTGGATAGCATTTTGGACGTATATATGGCAATAAGTGCTTCACGTTTATCCATTCACTGATAGGTAACATATTGTTATTAATATGTCATAGCATGGACGTAAAATTCCAGTCTGTGTTCATCACATCTCTGACCTCCTGAAAATCACATCAAGAGAGGGGAAATCTGTTGATGACTGCTTATGAGAAACGCCTGCGCCCCCTTCCCCCTGCGCGGGCCCTGGGGATGAGGCACTCCTCAGGACCGCCTTCCCGTTACCCGGCCCAGGGCGCAGAGCAGTCGCCCGCACTCAAAAATGGCTTTTCAGAACCCGGCATTGGGAAACACTCGCCCCGGGAGCTCCCGCAGCCACCACCCGGGTTGCTGCACGGGCCGAGGCACAGCCCGGGCGGGGCGGCGGCTCCCCGCTCCGAGCGCCCTCCTCCCTGCCGCGGGCAGGCGGACTCTGCCCGCTCCGGAAGAGCCCACCGGCAGCCGCCGGCCATGCCGGCTCCTCCCGCCCCGCCCGGCCCTGCCCTGCCCAAGCCACCTCAGGGGTAGCTGTCCCGCTCCTGCGGGAGCTAACGTGAGAGGCGGGCCGGGGGGGCAGGCGGAGTATTGACAGCTGCCCGCTCGGGCCCCGAAGGACCGCCTGGGTGTGTAGCGGGGCCGCCTCGTCCCGTCTCTCTCCTCTGCCCGCCAGCAGAGCCCTCGCCCCGCGGCCGACGCGGGCACCGCCTCGCCCGGTGCCTCCCGCCGGGAGCTCCCTGCCTCTCTTCCCGCCTCGCCCCCTCGCAGCACCGGTGCCGGCCGGCACCCGCTGCTCCGTGGGCCGCGATCGGGCCCCGGCGGCCAGGGAAGGGGAAAGGGGGACGGCGGAGGAGAGGCTGGGATGGGGGGGGTTGTAGCAGCATCACCATGGCGACAGTGACGTCATCTCACCCTGGATCTAATTGGAGGAAACCCCGTGGCCCCAGCCGCAGCCCACGGGCCAACCGAGCTTGTGCCCTGCCTGCGCTCGCCCCCGCGGCGGCGCGCTCTGCTTGGATTGGCTGTCAGGGCGCGAGGGGGCAGGGCCAGGCCCGCAGACAAGGCTGCGATTGGCCGCGTGGGCGCGGGTTGAACAGCGGGTAGGCTTGCCTGTGCCAACGCCCTTTAGCGCTGGCTCTCGCCGGAGACGGGAGCGGTTCTTTCTCTCCGCCACAGCCCCGAGCGAGGCAGCCGATCGGGTGGCGCCCGCGGCCCGGCCTAGCGAAGCGGAACCAGGTGAGCGCCGTGCCGCGGCCTCGCGGCGGGTGCGGGCCCCGCTCTGCCGCTGCCTGCCGCCGCGTCCTCCATTTTGTGATCGCGGCGTGGAGCTCTCGGCGGCCTCAGGGAACGGGAGGCGCAGCCAGCCAGAGCCGCCATTTCGCACCCAGCGGGGCCGCCGGCTTCCTCTTTCCGCCCTGCCGCAGCGGGAGGCCGCGCCGGCCACCCTCCGTCCCCGCTGCCCCCCGCCGTCCATGGGGACGCGGCCGCCCCTGGCCCCCGCCCTCGTCGGGACCGAGACCCCACCCACTGCCACTCCGCCGGGCTCCCCCGCCGGCAGTGCGGGGTCGTCCCGGCCCCCGCCGCCGAGAGCCGCCGTCCCGGGCTGGAGTTAGGCCCGCTCCCACCGGGGGGATGCGGGAGGCCAGGACCCGCCGCGCCCCACCGCCAGGAGGCGAAGCAGCCTGGCCCCGCCGCCCCGCCCCGGCCGCTCCGAGCTCCCCTGGCCGCGCTCGCCCCGCAGAGCGCGGGTGCCCGAGGGAGGCGGATCTAGGCCCCGCTCTGCCTGCCCGTTGGGTTTTAACCCCTTCCTTGCCTCCCCAGGGACGAGCCCGTCTCGCTCATTATTTATTTCTTTCCCTGTTTTCTCGCCTTTAGCATCCGCCTTTCTTCAGCTCTCATCTGCAGGGGTTGTGGCACACGGGGCTTTGGGCGAGGCGGCGAGGGTGGCGGGGTTTCCTTCTTCAGGTTCGTGTTAGAAGGCAAGGAAGAAAAGCAGGGTGAAGACAAAAGTCCGCCCTGATGGAAAAATAGCTATTTCCAGTGCTTGGTCTTTAGGATGCTGTCCCTTGGCTAGCGCTGAGTGTGCCTCCCCAGTTGGGTTTCTAGGTCGTGGTTTCCCTAGGGGTGGACCCTTGAGACTAGTGCCTTTCCCCGTAGCCCTGCATGGAAGGGCAGGTTGCTGTAGTCCATCTTTCCACAAGAAGCACTTGATATGGGGAAGGGGAGGCAAGGCTCACTGTGATCCTTGGTGTTTGCGAGGCGTGGCATAGGATTGTGCTCTGTAGTGGACATCCTAGCGCCATGGTTACCGTCTTCTTTTCTGCAGGTTTTGAGGTGCATTCTCGTGTTGGTAGTGTGACGTCCCCAGCTTCTCCTGCTTTTGCTACTCTACTGCTCTTGCCCCACTGCCAGCCACCATGGATAAGACCGAGTTGATCCAGAAAGCCAAGCTGGCTGAGCAGGCTGAGCGCTATGATGATATGGCAACCTGCATGAAGGCAGTAACTGAGCAAGGTGCTGAGCTGTCCAATGAGGAGCGCAACCTGCTCTCAGTGGCCTACAAGAACGTAGTGGGGGGTCGACGCTCTGCCTGGAGGGTCATCTCTAGCATTGAGCAGAAGACAGACACCAGTGACAAGAAGATGCAACTTATCAAAGACTATCGGGAGAAGGTGGAGTCTGAGCTCAGGTCCATCTGCACCACTGTGCTGGTGAGTGGGGACTTCCTTTTTTCTTCTGTTTATTTTTAGGATAAAGAAATACAGTATTCATGTGTTCTGCTGTACTGGCGAATAAGACTGGGATCTTGACTGGGGAACATTGTGTGAAGTATGCTGGGGTAGGGGAAGTCTGTGCAGTAATTTCTGCAGTCATTATGTGGGTTTCTGTGAGGAGGAAGATCATCTGCTCAACACTGTAGCTCTAGATGTATAGAGGTATCTGAGATATACACTCAATTTTGAGTGTGCTTTTAGAATACATTTTTGGCTGGAGTGATCCATATGTAGTATTGCACTAGATAATTACAAAGAATTTAGCCTCATGCCTATTTGTGTTGTGGTTTTTAAGCTGATCTGTTTGTAAGGTAAGCTGAAAAGAAAGTGAGAAAACCACTTTATTTCTTCAGAGCTAGTAACCTGTTAAAAGCATTTAAACTTGGTGTGCATTTTGTTTACATCTTGTGAAGCAAAAGACTGTCAAGGGGTATTTAAGACATGTTTTGAGGATCTTTTTGACAAAAATGTGTTTTTATAAAGTAAAACGTCCATGTTGAAGATAGGAAATAAAGAAATGTGGAAGTTGGCTTTGTCAGATTCAAGCTGACTCCTCAGGGGAATCTTTAAGATGCATTTGCAGTAATTATGGAATAATGTAAAACTGAGGTGTGAAAACTGGCATGACACCCCAGGCATGCATCAAAGCCCAGGAATACATTTCTGTACAAGCAGCAGAATTCCAGATGCTATCGGTAACAAAACTACTGCGCTGTAGTGGCAGCTGAAGAGACTTGTCAGCAGTGTGGAGGCTGCTGGACCCTATTCCATGTGACGAGAGTTGTGGCTGTGGGAAGCTACATGCGTGTAATGCAGTAGTAACTGTGTGGCAGATAATCTTCAGTGGTTTATTTGCTCTTCCTCATTACTTTTGTCTAGTGTCTGCTATTGCTAACTAAGAACAGGAAGAAGCAGGTCTATAAGTAATTAAACAATTTTGAGGTGAACGTATCCTAGATTAGTTTAGGAGACCTGAATATAAAGCTGATTGGTTTGGAAGTAACTGATTTTTTTTTCTTTATGAAGCCTTCTGGATCCTCACATACAAGGGAGAATTTCTTTGCATTGTGCTGAAAATATTCTTCCTTGCATGCTGCTGAATAGGTTTTGGGGATTTTTTCTAAAACAGTCAAAATGAGTTACCTTTGCTCAAAAATAATTTGGATGTTTATTAGCTTAATCAATCAGTTGAGTTAATTCCTTAACACATTTCAGAGTTCTGTGTCTTCCAAAGAGTTTCTCCAGTTACAGGTATAGTTAAGTTGTAAAACTTTCATCTTTGTGAAAATGATGTGACTTGTGTAGGGCACCAACTACTGATTCCTGTGACTGGTTTCACTAGAACCTGTGTGACCAGATGCCAGCATTCTGCTACCAGGAGCTGGTGCTTCCATAGGGAGACTGAGTGCCTCTGAATGATAAAGGTAGTGAGCCATTTCATGCAGTGTCTATACTGAAATTATTCCAGGCGCATCAAATGGTGGACAGCAGGCAGTCTGGTAACCGTGCTAACACAAGCCTCTGATGGAGGGAAAGCAAGCTCTTCCTGTGCTAGCTGGGTTTCCCCCTGCATTCACGTCTTTCTCTGTTCTCAGCAATGACCTGGTTGGCAATTCTTTCCTTCTCTTCTCACCTGGAAGGCTACAGGAAGTAGTGAAGACCAAAACCTGCAACTGTGCATGCTTTTCCTGTTCTGCCCTGCTGGCAAAGATGTGCCTTCCTTTGGTAGGAGCAGATGTCAGCCTGTCTACTGCAAGCCTTCTGACTTTTATTCTTCCTTTGAGGGACATGTGCAAGTTACATTCTGTTCAGCTTCTTTCCCTTTCCTCCTCCATCTAGCGCTTCTATGATCCATGAGTCAGCATCCAAGAAGTTGGAACTCACAATGTGCAGGCACTACAAAGGATGGGTTTCCCAAAGCTGAGCTGCAAGGGAGTTATGACTCCTCCTCCTTCAAATTACAGTTTTTTTTTTTCCTTTACTAATGCCGTAGTAAGTGCTTGTAACGTTATTAGATCTCTTTAAGCTGAATCTCAGAGGTGGGCCTTTAACTCTAGGAAGGAAGCTAATCTGAAACAACTGCTGGCAAGTAGTATGGAAAGGTTGCTTGTCATCTGGAGTATTTGGATTTAGCAAGGGTGGATGTGTGGGGTGGAGTGTGACTGCTGTTAGTCATACTGCTAACAGTTTTTTCAAAAGGCTTTTATTACTGGTATGGCACACCTTTTGAAAAGGAAGTGTATCTGCTTCATTTGGAAATATTCTAACGTTACAAAATACTGCTAATTTTTGATGGAAAAGGCAGCAACAATGCTGGATCTACAATTGCTCTTTTTCCATAAAGAATGTCTCAAGCCAATTAGATAAAGCATTGGTCTAGGGCACTGGTTGATAAGGAGCTTAAATTTAATAACCACTAGAATACAACCATCAAAAATTATGTTGAGATATCTACATATAGATATACATAGATAAATAAAAATAAAACTTGCTAATTATTTAATTAACTTACAACCAATATCAGTGGTCACAGTAAGATGTTCCATCTCATGCCAAGCAGTGAAGGCATTGCTTTAACTGCCTATCTTGCAAATAGGAGTAGATGTGATCTAAACCCTTTTTAACTCTTAATTTTATGACTGGTCTTTCAGGTGAGAGTGGCTTTTTAATGAAGAAGTGGTAGGACTTTGTCAAACAACTTGCACAAATGTTTTATGTGAAAGGTACACTAGGAGGTTTTATGAAGTCTCTCGATTGATTAATTCCTTTGTAATGTAGAAAATTAATGTTGAGTCATCCCTTATGAAGCCTAGTCAAAACTGTTCTTGAAACTTTTGTCCCTGAATAAAGAAACAGGTTGGCAACTTAACTTTTTTTTTTCAAGGTGAAGTTGAGCTATGTTGTTTCAGATACTCTCTGAGCACAAAGTTCATGTTTTTTTATATTCTGAGTGACTTCAAGACAGGGATGATTGGTAATGTAGACGGTATGGGTGCAGCAGTAACTTCCACATAGTGAAATAGCGTGGAACTTTGAAGGTGGAATGTGGAATGTAAGACCAATGCTTTATTGTATATACACCCACTGTTTAGTGACATCAGATTTTCAAAAAAAGTAACTTTTGAATTGAGACTTCTCTGGAGGCGCAGATAGAACTGCTGAGATTTCTGAGAGCCTCAGTCTCTTTTCACAGCAATAACTCATTTTGCATTCAAGATTCATTCTTTAGAGACATCTAGTGTCTTCAGTTTTTACTGTCTTAAGGTTGAGAAGATGCTTGTAAATGTCTGATCTTCTGTGAGATTGCAGTGTTAATTGCTGAAAGCATGAATTAGTGTGTTGCTCTTGCCAGCTCTCTCTTCCTTTGTTATTTCCTTCCTTCCTTCCCCCACCCCAGGGTTGCAGTGTCGTTACTTACTTCTGCTTTGCATAATTAAGAAACAATAAAACCTAATAAAAACAAAGGTAGAAATCTATGACCACTTCTGATTTTTATCCATTTTGTAGATCTAGTTGTAAAGTTACTTGGTTAAAAATGAAAAAAACAGAAATCCCCGTACTGGAGGATGATGTTCAAATTGGATATCTTCAGCAGCACAACTTCATAGCTTCATTGAAAATGAAGTCGGCATTTTCTTGCATCAGCAAATAAGATTCCTCTGTCAGCTTAATATCTGATGTCAGATGGTGAATAAGCTTTGATTATAGCACTGTTTCTTCCCTACTGTTACCTTTGGCCTGCAGAAAAGTGAAATCTTGATGATGATGATTATTCATGCAGAAATTTGGAAGATTCTGTAAATATCGGCTTAATGCTGCTATATAAACAATTTCCTAGAGTTTCCTATCTTGCGAATCCTTTCTCTCTGCTTTTCTCTTTTCAGTGAATGGCCAGACTTTATACGGAAATAGAATCACAGAATAATTAGGGTTGGAAAGGACCTTAAGATCATCTAGTTCCGGCCCCCCTGCCATGGGCAAGGACACCTCCCACTAAACCATGCCACCCGAGGCTCTGTCCAACCTGGCCTTGAACACTGCCAGGAATGGAGCATTTACAGCTTCCCTGGGCAGCCCATTTCTCACCACCCTAACAGTAAAGAATTTCTTCCTTATATCCAATCTAAACTTCCCCTGTTTAAGTTTGAACCTATTACCCTTGTCCTGTCGCTACAGTCCCTGATGAGTAGTCCATCCCCAGCATCCCTGTAGCCCCCCTTCAGATACTGGAAGGCTGCTATGAGGTCTCCACACAGCCTTCTCTTCTCCAGTGACAAGAGTGCAGAGGTGAAAATAGCATCTGAGTAAGAGGGTATTACGGTCTTTGACACTGGGAACTATGTAGGATATAGTTTTCCTCTGAGGGTTGGGCATACTAATCACTTAATATTACTTTTTTACTTGAATTAGTTGTCCCAGTAGTGGTTGGGACAGTGTTTCAGGTATTACTTTTTTTCCTTTGTAAATTAAAGCAGATGCTATTGGCTCATCCTTTTTCAGTAACTGACTAAAAGGACTAGCTACTTCATGAGTCAGAGCCAGACTTTAGATTGGGAATGTTATTTCTTGGCAAATCCAGAATTGTGGAGTGAATGTAAAATGAATGTTTTAATTTGGAATAACAGTCTTCATTTAGAAGAAGGGTAATACGTGGGGAGAGAGTTGATTCTCCTTTGTGTTCTTAGCACAGCTTTTAGCAAGCACCAACACATTTATGATAAGAATTGTGGAACTTAATGCATGAATCTCTTGTAGTTTAATATGCTTAAACCTTAAATTCATTATCTGAACTTGACTTACTCATAGTTGTACCTTCTCTTACATGAGCTTTTGCCCTTCATTAGAATCTTCTGCTGGAATACTGCGCTTCTGTGCAAGGAAAACTGAATCTGTTCTAAGAAAGGACTGACACTTGGAGAACCGAAGTCTAGAATCCA